TAAAAAAAATGTTCGATACAGGTGTTAAACAAAACTTCCAAAAAATTTGGGAAAATAGAAATCAATAACCACTAGAATATATTTATATCAGTCAATGACCAATACATTCTAAAATTTTGGTCATTAATTGATATTAATTTTTAATGTGAAATGATCAAATTTCCCTTAAAATACAAAATAAAAAAAAGAGATTCCTTCATTGTCACCGACGCTGGCCACTAAATCGTTGCCAAAGAGCTTGCAGCTGGTGAGGTTGCCAAAGCCTTTGCCATTGGCAAGGTTACTAGTTGTCAGACACCAAATCTCTTGCACCAATGATACTTTTTTTCTTTTAAATTGTTAGAGATGGTCAAAGGTTTGATCCCACAACTCCTTAGCTACTTAAAAGGTTTGGTGGCCCCCAAGCCACCAAGCTCATTTAATTACATATGTTATATCAATCCTAGTTTCTAAACTACTTCCATAATATAACATAACAATGTATTATTAATTTTAGAATGATATTTGTTATTTTATTAACGTTACTTGTTAATCTGACATAATCAATTATAAATTGAGAGTTTTAAAATTTCATACATTTTACTTATTAAAGTCTGAATGTATTATTGTTAATAATGAAATAATTGTTGTCAAAACATGAATGGATATTTATTGATGATGAATGACTATTACTTATATAATTAAGCCAATCTTATTAGTTTTTTGTCAAAATTCAAATAAATTGTTGTTAATTTCAAAAGAGGAGTTGTTAAATAAAACTTAAATGAATACTTTTTGATAAAGGAATAACATTCATATAATTAAACACATTCTATTCGTTTTTTTAATTTATTAAAGATTGAATGGATTGTTATTAATCTTGAATGATTTGTTATCAAAACTCAAATGGATATTTGTTAATGAAGGACTAATACTTGTATAACTAGACCTGTCTTATCCATTTTTTCTAACTTGTTAAATCTCAAATTAATTGTTATTAATTTCAAATACATTGTTGTCAAAATTTGAATGACTTGTTGTTTATACACTTGTTCTATTAGACCTGTGCTTTCAATCATCAACAACAAATGTCTATTTGGGTTTTCACATATATGCATTTGTAATTAACAATAATTTATTCGAGTTTTAACAATTTAAAAAAATAAATAAGATGAGTTTAATTATATAAATATAGTCATTCATTAACAAGTATTTATTCGAGTTTTAAGAGAAACTCTTTCAAAATTAACAATAATTCATTCATGTTTTAACAAAGGGTTGATAGGATAGGTTTAATTATATAAGTGTTAATCATTCATCAACAAATATTCATTTACATTTTAACAATAACCTTTTTGTGATTAACAAGAATACATTCAAAATTTAACAAGTAAAATGTATAAAGTTTTAAAGTTCTCCATTTGTAATTAACTGTGTTACATTAACAAATAACATTAATAAAATAATAAGTGTCATTTTGAAATTAACAATATACCATTATATTATAATATGGAAATCACTTAGAAACTTGAATTGATACATACGCGCGCACGTACACACACACATATTTGCTATATATATTTAAATGAGTTTGGTAGCTTGATGGCAATAAAGGTTCTTCAGTGGCCAAGAGGCTATAGAATCAAATCCCTTTTGACCATCTTTACCCCTTTTTTTTATAGAAAGTATCACTGGTGTCAGAGCTCTGGCGACCAGCCATCGATGAGGAGCTCCAACAACCTTGTTGGTGGTAGGGTCTCTAGATGGTCCAGCAGCCAATTCTGGTGATAGTTGGAGTGACTTTATATATATATATATATATATATATATATTTTAAGGGCAATTTTTTCATTCCAAATAAAAAATTAATTAGTGTCAGGGGATTGTAGTAAAATTTCAGAATGTATTGGCATTTGATTGATATAAATATGCTCCAGTTGTTGATTGATATTTTCCCCAAAAATTCCCTGTATTATGAACAGGAGGAGCAAGGAGTATATATCAACACCTTCTTCCTTCTGTCTTGTTCAACTAAATTAGTCTTCCTCATACATACTCCAAACAAATGGATGGTGCCACAGGGAACTCAAAGCTTCCATTTGTTGCAGAAGATCATCTTCATCAACACTTGTGGTCTTCTTCTTCCATGAACCTCTTTCATCAAACCCCACATGCCCATTTCAGCAATTTCTACCCTATGTTCTCTGCAACGGACAAATTCAACGAGATCCAGAACGAAACCACTCAGAAAGGTGATTCTTTTACGCCATGTGAAGAGGATGATGAGGATGAGGCCTTATCTGGGAATTATTCATACAGTCATGTGCTTGCTGGTGATCAAAGCTGTTGTGCCAAGTCAGACTCAGACTCTTGCAGCCAAGTTGATGATGATGATAATGAAGAAGAAAAAGAAGAGGTGAGTTTGGATGAGTTGTTGCAGAGTGATGCAAAAGCAAAGAAGAAAATTGAGGTTTTGGCTGAAATGGTTGGAGTTGACAGTACAGAACCAGTGATAGTGTTGACTGAAGTGGTGAGAGTTCTGAAGCACTTGAGGAGGATGAACCATTTTTAATTAAGAAGGGCTTATATATATATATATATATATATATATGGTGGTGGTGGTGGTGGTAAGAATGTTTAGTTCTTGTTGAAATGCCACTTTGTAATTTGTGAGTTTGGGAAATTTTCTTTCTTGCCTTTCACTATCTTTCTTTAATATCTTCCCTTGTTTACACTAAAATCCTTGATTTATATATATATAAATATACCACCAAGAACTAATTGCTTATTTACAGGGGTGGAAAAGCTAGACATTAAATTATAAGCTGTGTTTTTGGAAATCTATTTGCAAATTTAGGTTTAAATAAACTGAAGTTTGCAGATCCAAATTTGAGTACTGTTTGGAAAGATCAGATTTAAAAGACAATTTTAGCTTAAAAAACAGAGGTATCAAAGCAGTGGAATTCATGGTTAGAAGATAAACTGAGTTTTTTAAACCTCAATTTGAATCTCTGAACTGAAATCCAAAAGTATACTGATTTTATGTTTTCGAAAAATACCCATATCATTGTTTGTTTTGTCTGGTTCATTGATGAGAAAAATGTTTCCTTTCTTATAAAGGTGATATCAATCTCTATTGAAATCATCCAATTCTTAGCACTGGAATAGCTTACTAAATTTTCAAAAAGCTATTAAAAAAGGAAGTAAAAAGTCAGTAGTTTTATGGCCCCAAAAAAAATAAAGTTATAATTATTTCCTCTTTTCTTCTGGGTTGTTATGGAAATCATTTTCCCAACGAATTGTTGAATAGAAAATCACTCATTAACGCTGTTGAAAGTTTCTATGAACATCATAAGAGTTGAAATACAAGCTATTCTGTCCATTAGGATAATTATAAGAGTTGACAAAAAGTAACTCCATCTTCTGTCGCTGGAGTGAAGACATAAAATAAATATATTTAGCCCCTTTCTAGGTGAGGGGCTAAATATATTATATTCCCCTGCTCCAAAATATGGCTATTTTTTTTAGTTGATCCTAGTTCAAAATATAAGCATCTTAATATTTGTAAAAAAAATTTAACATTTTATCTCTTGCTTTTATTAATCTAAATTTTTGTATATGTCAATTTATGACTTTCTTCTCACTCATCATAAATTAGAACTAAAGGTGAAAAGATAAAATAATATATTTTTTTATGAAAATAAGGATTTTATTTATATGCAGATTATTTTTAAAAGGTGTTTATATTTTGGAAGGGGGGAATATATGATACTTGATAATATTATGAAATAAAAACATAATGAAAACAACTAATGGCAAGGATTAAATATGTGAAAAGATTTTGAGATTTCTATAATAACAATTAGTCTGATTCCCCTAGACATAATTAGTTACATGAATTACACTATATTATTGTGCTCTATCAATAACATTGCACAAAAACATCTATTCATTTTCATATGAAGTTCGACAAAATTTTATGTTAATTGTCAAAAACTTAACACAACCTTCCTTCTATATCTAAGCTTGAGATCAACTGTAAAGCATATGTGGAGTTCATCTTGAGATTTCTAATGAAAGAAAATAAATTACATTAGAAGATTTTTCCCATTTAAACTCATTAATACTTAAATTTGATTTAACAATATTAAACATAATACATTACAAAAATAGTATGATAACAGTACTTTTATAAATGTAAAAGGGAGAATGATAGACAAATCTTTTTGAAATAGGGAAAAGACAATTGAGTACCACAAGATATAATAATGATAGTGAGGTCTCAAGGAATTTCTTTGAAAGTAAATTTCTGTGTGAAATTACTTTAATACCCTTATATGATTTAGAAAATTATGATTTTTTAAATTGTTTTAATCATTAGTAAAACCAAATTTGCGAATACTTATACTAAACCTGTAAACAATATAAAATTAGTCAGATTTTACTGATAAAAGTTGTAATTTTTTAAATAAGTTTAATCATTGGTAAAGCTAAACTTGTAAATACTTATAACAAATTTGTGAACCATATAAAAATAATTGAAATTTGCTGATAGAAAGTTGTGATTTTCTAAATCGTTTTAGTTATTGATGAAATTAAACTTACGAATACTCATATCAAACTGTAAAGAGACACTAAAATAATTTTACACAAAAATTCAATCTTAAAGAAGTCCCTTAAAATCTGAATATTATTATCACATTTTGCAAGATCAAATTGTAACATTATAAAGAGATCTTTTAGCCCAAAATAAAAACAACGACGTAACATTCTCAATTAGTTAGACGTATCTTTAATCCTATCAATAATGTTTCTAAAAAATTGTGAAAGGAAGTGGATATAATAACCTTTTAATAACGGTAAAACTGTCAATCAATTAAAAAAATAGGTAAGACTGAAATTTTCAAATGTTACCTTGATATATTTAAGAATGTATCGCTTTCTTAAAATGCACGAAAATGTTAGAAATGTCTTACTGTAAGGAACGGGGGGAGCATGAGAGAGGGGGTAACCCATTGTCCTTGTTGCCCGTAAATTTCAAGACTTTAATTATCAAACAGTGACTTTAAACTGGAAACAACCCCTCCGGTAGTTTCTTCTTCAAATCTGAATCTACTTAACATTTTACACGCAATTTCTTTAACTGAATCTGGGCAACTTCTCAAGGCTCGAGCCAGTCAGTGTCACCACCTGGGTTTTATCTCGAGTTGGAAATTTTTACTGATTTAATTTCAAAACACCTCCGAATATGCCATATATGTTCCTATCCACCATATTAATGCGCTCCGCCCAACATGATAAACTTGTTTAGTGATTGTGTAAAGAACAAGCTGAGCTGCCTTCAAGTTTTCCACACGTAGACGAAGAGGCATCGGTCCTCTTAACAGAAGCTAGCATCACTTAAATACGAGATTTTGAGTTCAAGTCTGTGAATGCAGAAAGAACTGCCTTCAATTGAGTATGACAATACTTAAATTTGACTTGATCATATAATCATAATATAAAAGGCCAAAAAAAAAAGCCCTACTTTTACATATGAAGTGAATCTAATCAACAAAATCAAGACAGAAATCTGGCTGATAAGGGAATGGCAGGATCATCATTAAGCTGTAGGTAATCTTGCTTACAAATGGATCCCCAAGCATCATCTATCCAGGAAAAATGATCGTTGACGTTAAGACCATAGAATCTAAATCTTGCTCATTGTTTGCCCTTCGAGAGCGACCCAGATTCAGCGCCAAACAGAGAATGAGAACACATCCTATCATCAACTGAAATAGAACGGTGACATCGTCACAGAAAAATTAAATAGCAATCACTGATCTTTTTTTTTTTTTTTTTTTTCCAAAAGACCTCTGGAAGTCAACATTCATGACAAAAACCAGCTGTTATTTCAAGCTTATTACAAAGCCCCCAGACATCCTAGAGCAGTCAATCAGTGATCGAATCTGTCACTGTCTCTCTACACAAAAAATCCATTCTCAGATTCCAAGGATTCAAAACTTCCACTTGAGGGTTTCAAAATGCATGGAAGTGACAGACAATCAATAACTACTTTGATCCCTCAATTAAAGGTGTCGGACAAAATATCCAATACCAGGAGTTTTGCAGAATTTCCTAGGGTATCTAACGCACCACACCATGGACACAGTAATAACATGAAGTAGCAAATTCGTTCCTTATTCAAGCCCACAAACACCCCAACTATGTTGTTCCTTGATGTAATTGGTGGCCACTTCCAAACCTACAGAATCCGCATCGAATTATTAAGTAGCCAGAACATGCTTAAAAGACGATGTGATGGACAAATGCTGGAATCATTATTTCCTCAAGGTATTCCCTTCCAGACAGCTCTGTTATGCAGAATTATTCACAAGAGGTAGCAGCATGGACGTGCTCATAGTAGCATTCATATAAAAGGCAATTTTCTGTCATAAATAGTCCTGCAGATAATGTTTTTTGGAAAAGAGTCCTGCAAAAGTATAATCAACAATTGAGTAGCCTATTTACAATTTGTTTTGGCACAGGAATGAGCTATTTGGCAGTTTATCCGAACCTTGAACTTGACTGAAATAAAACCAGACTGTATTCATTGGTCTCGAGACTGAGCACACAAAATAAGCAGGCCAAGTGTCAAAGTAAGTGCCACCTACAAGTAAATTAGTGCTTCTGGATCATCTTGGTTGTATTGGACCGGGAAAAAAAAAAAAAAATTAGAACATACTAAGTTAAGAAAGTTGACATTTATCTCGATCAAGTCCCTGATCTTTCCAACACACAATGCGAAGATCCTTCTTTAAATAACAATATCAAGACAACAGCTGATGATGACTATTAAAATAATGAGATAAAGCTCTCAACAATTGAGTAAACTCATGCGCCTAAATTAAAGACAGGAAAGCAATGAAATGTTTGTAGGTGTAAAATAAAAGCCCCAAACCTTTGATATCTCTCAGAAAACCATTATTTCAGAGATCTTTCAACCAAAACTTTTTTCCTCAGATTTGTATTGTTTATATTCTTGAGAACCTGGTAATTGCAACTGACCAAAATGAGATGAAGATGATGTAAACAGAAAAGCAGTAAAAGGAGAGATTATCAAATATACACAAGATTCAGATTTTAGTCTCCCCAGTTCTAAAAGCATTTGCGTGGATGCTTCATAACTGAACAAAAGGGCAATAGTACTGAAAGTATACTGCTTCTTATTTAAACATGAAAACTAAAATAACCCCGTAAAAATGAATGAGCATCAAAGACAAAAGCTGCAAATAAATCTACTATAACAAAATGAAGTAAAAAGAAAACAAAACTGCAATTCATAATATTGTCAATCAATCTAAACCAAACTGAATCACATGTCTCATGACACATGAAAAATTATTTCGAGGCAACAAGGGGAGAGGGGGCAACTTTCACACATTAATGTTACATCATGAGATGAATACACAGGATCACGGTGGCCCACATTTCAAATCTATGTACAGTACAGGAGCCAAGCCAGGGCAGTCTATATCTTATACCAATCAATCATTTGTAGACAAAAAGATGTAGCACGTGGTCTTAAAGGAGAACCTACACAATTTTTCAACTTTGCAGCACAGTTGCAGTCTCCATTGATGGATCACCAAAATATTTGACCAAACATTTGAAAAATAGAAACATCTCAAAACCACCACACATTTGCAGCTTCATATATATGTGCTGAGTCTTCATGACCTCATTCAAAGCTGGAAATACAGCATAATATTATCAGTTAAGGATAAGGATAGCATAAAGATAATAATGTAGCATCAAAATAACAACAACAATAAGACTTTTAAGCATAAACCAGAAAACTACCATATAGATCATTCATTTGGCCAAGGTGTGCATTGCAGCAATGAAATCCAGCTACTTGAAGGACCAATTTTTACTGCCTTGCCCATGACCAGGGTTTGCAGCTTCAGTAGTCAAGGCAGGCTTCAAGGAGTTCCGCTTCAAGGTACCAGCATGTGAATATGAAGTAGAAGCCATATTTGCATCTTCAAAAATCTACAAAAAAGGGGAACATAAATTGCTACAAAAATTTGAAACCTAATAGTAAGCAATCATAAAATTATGACAAGAGATTTGCACAAGTCATCAGTCACAAGTCACAACAAAAAAGGGGGAAATCCTACGCACACATGACTTACATTCCTGTCAATAGGATTACTAGCACCTACATTTTTGCCTGCTGGTGATTTGAACTGCATCTTAACACCAGAACCAGTAGCATTGTCAGGTCTCACGTGCTCCAAGACATCCCCTGAATAAGCACAAACACCTGCCAAGAAATAAAAAATAAAGACATTATTATGGTTTTAAAACCAAACAGAAGAGTGGACCGGCACTTCACATCTTCCTTGATTCACCAAGTCAAAAACAAATTAAAAGTCTAACAACAATATACAAAAGAGATACAAACAAACATGTCAAAGCTTGAACCCTTTTTTAATTCGTATTATTTAAAAAAAAAACATGTATTCCTTTGGCATTTTGTATTTTAAAAAACTGATCAAATGATAATTACAAAAACTGTCAGTTTCCCCTCCATCATGCACTTTATTTGGCATTTCACATAAATGCATTTCTTCATAGCCTGTGAATGAAATAATTAATTTAAGATGCATGAAGAGATAAATAAGATCTAACCATGAAGATTTTCAGCAGCCGTTGGCTTTGTACAATTGTTGCTTGCTCTAGGAGCTGACTGTGATATGCAAAAATTGAGCATTGTCAAAATAATGGGAGTAAATGTTGGGCTTTAAACGGACAGTAGGAATATAAGGCTGGAGTAGCAAAGATGAGATTACTGAGATGGACATGCAAGCATATACTAAAAGATAAAATTCAAAATGTACATATACAAGTAAAGGTGGATGCAACATCTATTGAAAGAAAAATAGTAAAAAATCATTTAAGATAGTTTAGACATATTTAGTGAAGGCTGTGGGAGGCACCAGTAAAGAGAATGGAACGATAATCTTAAATCCTACTAATAGAGATAAAGGAAGACTAAAAAGAACACTAATGGAAGTTCGTGAATGAAACCTCTTAGTTAACAATATTCCTAAAAATTTGATTGATGATAGAGTACAATAGCATCGTGCAATTCATATAGTTGACTACATTTAATGAGATAAGGCTTGTTGTTATCGTCAAAATCATGATGAAATTCATTGTTGTGAAAATCACCCCTAACAAAGTAAAGAATAACCTGAAGAGCAAACTACTTACAGGTGAGTGAGGCTGAACTTTACTCTTTTGTGTCTGCTGGTACTTTAAAATGGTCCAATCAAATACATAATCAAATTCAAAACCTGTCGATAGAAGTTCCCCTTAATAGCAGAGATGAAGACAGAGGTAAAAATTGGAAACTGCAATGTGTCAATAGACCAAAGGACCTTTTCACATGCCAGAAATCTTCATGTGCAGAACATATAATTAGTCATTTCCAGTGGTCAAAAGTAAACTGTCAGTGCGTAGGTGTAAAGTTGAAGAATCATGTAGAATTCTAATGAGCATAAAGTATTCATAAGCTTATTATCTTCTGAGGAATCCATCTTAAAATCATAGTCATTTCCCCATATTTAGGATAAAGCCTATTAATTCCATTTCAAGCAAGTATTCTTGTAGGATCCCCCATATATGAATAAGTTCACAAAGAACATTTCAAAAGTCTGTCAACACAATCATGCAATTCATGTGATTGCACATTATGCAACAGATGAAAAGAGTAATCACCTTGTCGGGCAAATAGGTCCAGGAATAGACGCTTCAAAAATCCATAATCAGGTCGCTGGTCAAACATCAAAGAGTGGCAATAATGGAAGTACGAAGTAAACTCTACAGGATGAGATTTGCTTAGGACCTTTAAAATTATACCAAACAATCATCAGGATTAAAAAGCTTCCCCAGGAATCTAAACAAAGCCAAATTACCAAAAACTCACCTCAATAGGAGTTGATACTTTCTTTTCACAAATTTTATCATATTTTTGCTTCTTTGTTGCAGCCTTTAGACCTTGCCAAGGAAGGCTGAACACAAATTTATTACCATTTAGAAGTTAACATATACTATACTATCACTCTGTTCTTGATAGACAGTCAATTTTGGAGGAAAAAACTGGCAGAACTAAAGCGGCTGGAGAAGAATGATTTACCTTCCTCTAAGGAAGTACAAAAGCACATATCCTAGTGACTCCAAATCATCTCGGCGGCTTTGCTCTGCATTTAATATAACAAATTGGGAAAATATAATAGCTTTGCAATTTATATGAAGTGAAGAGGAAAACTAACTTCTCACTTACCAATACCAAGGTGAGTATTACAGCTTGCATAACGTGCAGTGCCTGTTAGGTTTTTGTTCTCCCTGCATGGTGAAATTATTAGGATCAGAAACACTATTGATAATTTGACACAAAGTCACTCTTTACCATTTCTAGGACAAGACGAGGAGAGATAGTGAAAGGCAAGGTAATTTTCAAGTATAGATTTAGAAGTTATTCATAAACTGATTGAAATAATATATTCAAACACTAAAATAATTCATATTAAGATACATAAAATTTTCCGAATCAAACAACAGCACCAAAAAGAAAATAACAAATAAAAATGTAAGCTCAAGGAACTAAACATAGAAGTACCGGTAAGGAATGTGATGATTGGTTGTGGGATCCCGATATCGTTTTGCAAGACCAAAATCAATCATGTAAACCTGACAAGTACGAAACACCCACCCATATAGCACCATATGCAGAACAACAAATGGTGGATAGCATGTCATGCCAGCTGAAGTCTGACTAGAGAAAGACAAATAACAAAACAGTTACCTGATTGGCCTTCCGACCAAGTCCCATGAGAAAGTTATCAGGTTTTATATCTCTGTGCAAAAAACCCTTAGAATGAACGTACTCTATTCTCGTGATCTGCAGAAAAGAAATGTTAACATCACATCGTATATACATCACTAACACTTTCACGACAAAATCTATAATTTGCAAGACAAATATTAGACAAGGATGAAGAAACTTTGCTTCCAGAGTTTTCATCTGAATTAATATAAAGCTAGCAAGAAAGAGATAAATATGCAATTGACATTGCATTCAAATACACAGATGCGCAAATAATACACTAATACACAAATGCATCCGCTTTGGAGATTATGTTTAAGCCCCCATCTGCAGAAATCAAAACGTCATGCCAACTTACCATTTGATCAGCTAATATTAAGACAGTCTTCAACGAAAACTTTCTTCCACAATACGCAAACAGATCTTCAAGACTGGGTCCCAACAAATCAAGAACTAGCACATTGTCCTCCCCATCGACACCAGACCATCTTATGCTAGGAATTCCACCTGCAACACAAATATTAAGTGCCATAAATCCATTTATTCAGACCCACTAGCTGTCAAAGACCCTCCACATACTAATTCACTCAGTCGTGGATATGAGCACATAGAAAGTCAGAAATAGATTAAGTGTTTAACATTGCAAAACTCATACTTCCTCCTTGAAGAACATGATACAGTTTTGCCTCGTATAGCAGCTGTGGGTGCTTGGTTTTACTGTTCTCCTGATACAATAAAAACCACAAAAGAAATTATCAAAAACAAAAAATTGAGAATGTAATAATTCTACTTGTCACCAGTCTCTCTCTCTCTCTCTAATATATATAACCATGTCAGTAAGCTAAATGATACGTGCTAAATTGCGAATGCATGCCCAATCAACCATGCAAACCTGCTCCAACTTTAAAGAGTTGAGAGCCTCTACTATTTAATCGATTGACATGTATAGAGGAAACAAGTGGAGGCTTACAATTTTCACCGCAAGTATCTCGAAGGTATCGACATGAGTAGCTGAAACAGAGCAAGCAAAATCAACAAAGATAAATCAGTTTAAAGCAAGTCATAACGAGCATTTCTGATACTAAAAGAAAATAAAGAACGCTCACCGAGGTAAATTTCGCCAAAGGATCCGCTTCCGATCTTGCGGCCGAGCTTGTACTTGCCGCCGACGATCCGTTCCATGTCGAATTCTAAGAAAAGGTATTTTGGAAACTATCTGAGCATGAAAGAGAAGCTAGAATTCAAAAGTTCTTCGATCTGAATCCAAGAAAACTCAGAATAGATTGGAGAAGGGTCCGAGCATCTGATTGCTTGTCTCGTTCGTTTTCCGAACTCCGATGCCCGTAGGAGAAACCGAAGCCACGCAGGAAGTGAAGCAAGGTAACGAGGGGCATAATAGACAATTGAAACAGCAAGGGAGGCTAATTTTGCCATTCGGGTTGTTGTAGTTCGACTTGCAATGAACAAGTCAAATGACACGTGAAAAGGATCAAGAGCTCAACAGGTAGAGCCCATAAACCACGACTTATCCGCTGATCTCCCTCGTTGCTCCTTAGATCTGGATTATAAATGATAATAATAATAATAATAATAATACTAAAAAATCTATTAAATCGCCAATTTGAATAGTAATTATTTAATATGCCAAATATAGTATTAATTTTTTTATAATTGTTATAGATTTACTATGCAAATTTATGGTTAATATAGATTTAATATTAATTTTTATTTGGATAATGCAATATTAAAAATAAGGAAAAATATAATTATTAGTCAATATAATTTTATCAGTTATTGCTTTTATTGCTTGTAACTAGCATTCACTCCTTTGTGTGATACACAAGAACATACACTTAGATTGCACTCAAATTTAAAAACAATCAATCTATAATTCTATGCAAATTTTTAAAGACCTCTTTATCAACATTTGTGGTGGTAAATTGAGGTCTATTCTCATTGTCATGAATAACAAGCCTCAACCCTTCCACACTCCTCATCCTCGAGAGGGCAACATACAACTAACTATGTGTAAATATAGGTTGTGGTAAATACAAGCCCATATAGTATGATGCTTGTCCTTGAAATTTATTAGTCATTGTAAATAAAAGAAAGATTGGGAATTGTCTTCTTTGCATGTGAAATGGTCACCAACTTCCTAATAGGTTCATATCCATTCTATGTATAAGCAATTTTTGATTAGTTTTTGAACTATTAAATGTTATAGCCTAAATCACTATCTTCCTAAGGTTAGTGATTTGCATTCTAGTTCCATTGCACAAACCAGATGCCTAGTGCCTTCTTGTTAAAGAGCAAAAAGTGGAGTAGTGGTGATGGCATTTGCATAGGTGGCAACAATACTTTACCCTTGAGGGAACAGATTGAGAAAGGTACCACACTCGTTGACTTACCTTTCTTAACCTTCTCACCCAACCACATCAATGTAGCACATTCTTCATGATAGCATACTTGATCTCCTTCGTCCAAGTAGCCTATGCATGCACATTTGTGAGCCATTTGTCTTCATCTAAGCCAAAAAAAAAAACATTAATTTTATACTACAAAAATGCAAGTACCAGAAGAACATGGATTTTTTGTGAAGTTAATAAACCATTAGCAAGAGTTTCACTTGGGGTATCATCATCTAATGATGTATTAAGTGGAATTAGTTTTAGGTACATGCAAGAAGCAACCATAAGGCATCACATTTATCAATAACATTACCTCCAAAACAATATGAATCTTACTCGTTCAAATCTTTATCTAAATTCTGACACTCATTGTATACAAACTCAATATTTTTATAATATGTGCCTAGCCATATCCTATGATGAGATAAATATAAGGCTGAATGTTTAGTCCACAAGAATTTAAAAGAACACCCCACTCTTCCTACAGAATCATACACATAAGGGACTAGCTGACGTGAAAATGGGTTGCTGGACGAATAAATTTTAAACAAATTTTGTTCTGGAGGATAAATTTCATAAATTCTAAACCAAAATTTAAATAGCTATGGATCATGTGATGACCAAAGACTAACAATATGGTCCATAAATTGATAAACCAATGACTCAATAATTTCATAGAACCCAAATATATGTGCATAATTGTAAACACCAACAACTAACAACATTCATTATTATAAAATTACCTTTTTACACCTCATATCTACACTGGTTATTATGCAAATGATGTAAAAATAGGAGGCAGTGGCATTCTTGTGAATATAAAGGTGCCTGTTATGATATCTACATTGGTTCCTTATATAATCGATATAGATATTAATATCTCTGATTATAATGTATAACCTATATAGATAATTTATTCTAATTTCCTTAAAAAATTGATTTTTAACATATCCATACTAGTTATTGAGTATAACCAGTGTAGTTATGTATTGTAATTTTTTAAAATTATTTTTTAACATATCTACACTGGTTATGATGTATAACTGGTATAGTTATATATTGTAATTTCTTTTTTTTAATACAAGGCCACAAAAAATTATATAGGAAGACTAAAATCTAGTCATGTCTAAGGCCAAGAGGCTTCTACAGTCTTGTGGGAGTTCATCAAAGATTGTAATATTAAAGTTGTATTGCTTGGTGAGCCAAGCGATCAGTGCATTTATTTTCTTCTCAATAGACATGGTCGAAGGTAACTACCTAATCCCTCATAGTGAGATCTCTAATATTCTTGATAATGTCATATAAGGGGTGACTCCTAAGGTAGTTGTTGTTAATAAGAGATAGAGTCTCTATCGAGTTTGAGTAGATATTAACTTTGAATAATTTCTCATTCCAGTAGAGGTTAAGTCCTTTGAAGATTCCAATAAGATTTGTAATTGTGCTAGGATGATAACCAAGAAATTTTAAAAATCCTTTAATCCACTTTCGCTTATCATCTCTGATGATGCTTTCACAAGCTACAATGCCATTATTGTTGACAAAGCTATTTATGTCCAATTTAGTCCATCCAAGTTTAGGTGGATTCCATTTGACATTATATGTAGTGTCTCCTTTGTTCAGTTGATTGATTTTGATAAAAGTTTGAGATCATTGTTAATTTGTTGAGTACTAGAAAAGGTAATATTGTTGTCTAAAACCTTATCTTTAGAGTAGAGTTTCTTGCATCTGGCTTTCTAAATGTTCCATCAAACTTGGGCGAAAAGTCTGTGTCAAGCTATTCTTCTTGTATTCAAGTTGCCTGCTTCATTTTTTGCATTTCAAATTATCTAGTCCTACAAACTAAGAGAGAAAAAGGTGTAAAGTTTTGTAGGATTAACTAACTTTTTATAAACCTCTTTAGCGTCCTCACAATCTCTTAAAATATGAATAGAAGAGTTAGAGGAGTTACAACCAAAAAGGCAACTACTTTGTTAGGAAGAGTCACCGTAGACATTATGTAGTCAATTCCAAGTAGCCTTCCAAAGAAAATATCTAATTTTTCATATGTAGGCCATTTTTAAATCTTAGACCAGATATTTAAGTGATTTTAGCCCTTGTAGTTATCCATTACTTTGTAAGTAGATTTGATGGAAAAGTTATCGTCAAAGGATGCCTTTTAAAAAAGGATATATTCTCTTTGTTGATTAGGAGGTTGCACAAGCAACATTTGTTTGATGATGTTAGGGTAAAGATAGTGATTTAAGAGGTCAATATTCCATCGTCTTTCATTATTGCAAAAGTCAGAGACTCTGGCATGGAAAATAGAATTGGCATTAGGATATATTGTAATTTTCTTTAAACCCTTCATTTCCATAAAGAAATAGTTGATTGAGAAACCTAACATCAGCTAAGTCATCTTCTCTATTTTCATCTTCCAAATCCATATCCCTTAACCTTGGCTATAAGACCAAAGAAAATAATCATGGTGTGGCCATCAAAACTTTTAGATTTGCACAAGACAACTGCTTGAAATCCCCTTAGTCACCATCAATAGCTTCATCATTTGCTTCATCTTCACCTTCTCAAACAACCTTCATAAACCCTAGCCCCATCATCACTCATGACATTTTTATCAATTTTCTCCTTCATCGAGACTCAAACTTAAAGATCCAAAGAGCTTATACACCTCTGCTAGACTTAAGGCCTTCCTCTCTATCATTCCTCTACCTTCTTTCTTTATCTCGTCATCACCGATAGTCATGGGTACACCTGAATGGCCTTATTCTCCCTTTTTTGCTAGACTCTTTTCCTTCCTCTCCATTTATGTTTGCATTGTTGGTGGTGCACTGGTCCATCCTTCCTCTCCATTTGTTCTCTTTTCTCTCATTTCTATTGTCACTGATTTGATGTAAGAATATAGAGCCCTCTTAACAAACTCTCTGTGTGTGGGTTTTGAGTAGTGTAGAGGCATTGATAATTTAGAGCTTTGGTGCGACAACAAAGTAGGGTTCTAAGTTTAAATTCAATAATTTTGAAGGTTGCTACAATGCTTGTAAATCCATGTGTAATAGGAAGGATAGACATTGTTGTGCAATACTTGGGTGTTTTGTGGGAATTGTGACACTTGTGGATCCAAATTTGGTGAGGTAAGTTACTTTGTAATTCTTGCTTGAAGATCTACATACGTGCGAATGCGTCAATTGACATATTACTCCTTTAGTTCTAGATACTGTCTCTTTATATAGTTTCTATGTATAAATGTTGATTCAAACAACCAATGTAGAATAGAGCATTGTTGGTGATTACAATATAGTATGAAAGAATTACATTTAATTTCATATTTTAGATATTGATTATTTCTTTTAGATCATTAGCATGATCATGATAAGCATAGAAGTCACACTGCATGTATATTCATTATTTTAGTAATGAGAGAAGCAGGCCATGAGGATGAGTGAGAATAAGGATAGTCATCAAGGACTCACAAAAAATCAAGATTATCATAAGAGGAAGATCATCATTCTAGATCTAAGGATGCTGATTATGGAAAGAGGAGACTTTTTAAATGTTAGTAACTTAATATGATGCTTAATATTTCTAATATTTTTGAGATAACTTTTCATTAAGGAAGAATACAATAAAAGCTAAACATTAGGGATTTGTCATAGTTAGATTGACTCTAGTTGCACTCCTCTAATCTAGAAGTTGTTGAGCAGCTATTTTGTTTTAATTTTTTATTCTGGTTACCTCTCATTTGAAGCTTGCTTGATACTTTTGTAGGAAAGGTTTGCTCTAAGATTTGGGATTTATTCTTCATTCTTCAACTTGTTATTGTTTGTGATTGTGATACTTTTCTTTGTGCATATCCTAAGTAAATTATTCTTATGCATTTGATTAAGATAACTAAATCCTCACATGGCTAATTTGGGTTAAGTGCTTTTCTATTTTCTTTACATCTTTTCCTTTTCCATCTCAATACATAAACATGAAAAATGTGTCTTGTTTTAGTATAT